GGTGATCCCAATTAGACTCAAAATTGAATCCTTAACAGCCTTATATGTACGTGAATGCTCTTTAGCAGAAAAAGTACTAAATCTAACAGCAAAATTTAAATATAATATTTTTATTTCAATTAGTTTTTAAATATGAGCGGGCAAATGGTAAAGTGGACTATTTACACAATCCAAAATATTAAAAAGCAGTTTATCATGATATTTGGCAATGATTACTGAAATGGACTATCACTTAGTGCAAAGCAGACTTTGAACCATACTCTCAATTTCATTGACAATAAGGCGGCATAAAGATCCAAGTAAAATGGAACAATAAAACCTTACCGATTGATACAATTGGAAAGCCCTGCCAGCAGCTTCAATGGCTACGCTGACAGGCTGGTTCGCCAATGCCTTCTGTAAAGCCTTCTCATCGTTTACAGGAACATCTTCAAAGGAATCAATAGAAACAACCCGGACATTTTTCTAGTGAAATTAAAAAAAAATCAACCATCTCAATTAGAACATTCAGCAAATTCTAATCTCATGATAATCAAAATAAAAATAGTGAAGGGCAAAGAAGACATGAGACATACCTTGTAAGTATCGCATTTCCCACCGTGTCCTCTATAAGGATAGTCTTCCTCCGAGTCAATGCCCCCATTTGCTATAATGAATTGAAAGGCGTCGTCCATAAGGCCACCATTACATCCTTGGTTTCTGGCAGTATCACAATCTACCAGCTCTTGTTCAGATAGCGATACGAGCTTACCAGTCACAATCTGGTTGATCCCTTCCACGGCCGCAATGCTTGAAAAAGCCCAGCAACTCCCTTCCAATCATAAAAAACAAAGCCTTAAATACTCCAATAATCTTTGTGCACTATAATTCAATTACAGTTGATAAAGAAAAGAAAAAAAGAGCACACCGCAGGCGCCTTGATCCTTCACAGGTACGACGGCGCCCTTGGTCGTCCAATCGACGGAATCCGGAAGGGCCTCTCCAGCAGCGAGGCGGTACCGATCGCTAGGATTCCGGTGGGAAGGCGAGGGTCGAGATCCAAGATAGGTAGATCGGTACTCCTCGTTGGTGAGATCGGCGAATCTGTTGAGACCGAGACGAAAGGAATGTAAGCCAGCGTTATGCTCGTCAATGTACCTGAGATTATCCTTGAAGATCTCAAAACGCCTTTCTTTCTCATCAAGCTCATTATAGATCCGGCCGTGCTTCGCCATCCAGTTCTCGTAGAGCTCCATGACCTCCTCGTCCCCCCTTTCCAGCCCCCTCATTCCGCGCCCCTCCTCGTAGGTTATGATCGACATGTCAGGCCCATTGCCGCCTGCATCCTCCATTGCTGCCACTGCTCCGATGACAAGGAAGATGAGGAGAGCAAGAAGCAAAGTGAAGGGAGCTGAGGCCATCGTGGAGAAGAAGATTGTTTGAATGGAGGTCGAGGGCTTTTTCTCCTTTGCCTGCTTTCATCGGAGCTCTCCCTCGAGGGCTATTTATAGGAGGAGACAAAAAGGCGCCCAGCAGTATTATTTCGAAAAAAAATATAAGGTTGGCAATTGTTAAAGCGGCGAATAATTAAAATAAACCGAAAGGGGATGGTTTATTAGACCGGTTTTGTTTTTATTCTAGTTTTCTTAAAAGGTTCTAATTATTAATTAAATAGTTATTTAGCTGTATTTAGTTATTAAAAAATTTGAGCCCTGGTCGATAAAGTGGGCCCACAGTTTGTCTTTTACGGGAGCGCTTGAGATTCTTTGCAGGTCCTACAAAATGTCCCGAAATAGTTTTTAATTAACATAAAATCATATGGCATTAACACATATAGCATAAATCCCACCTATTTACATATTTAATATTAAAATTTCAAATATGCTTTAATAATAAATAAAAGCATATTATTATTAGTAATATTTTAAAAGTGAAATGCAACTTTTCATGCATAAATTTAT